AACCACCAAAAAAAAAAAAAAAAAAACAACAAAAACTCAGGACTGGCACATGTGCATGTGTGCCCAAGATCCCAAGAGAATGGAAGAAAAGGGAATGCAGTATGGCCATCCACCCTGGGAGGTGATTTCTTGCTTTCTGTCCCTGTGTCTCTCTAGTGCCTTATAGAAAAAAATCTCTCTCTAAAAAACAAAAACAAAGAATTAAAAAATAGTGAAAAACTTCCACTCATCAGAAGACATCATTAAAAAATTTTAAGACAAAAAAGAAAACACCATGGGCTGACTACATGACCTGGTAGTTAAGGCAGCTAAATCCCATATGGTTGACCTGGTAGTTGGAGTCCTGGACCTGGTGGCTTGAGGAACATGCCGGATACCTATGCATGCATGCCCCAAATACTGACAGGATGGAGAAATGGAGGAGAAGGGATTGTGGCATGACCATTCCCCATTGGAGATACTATATCTCTCTTTCTCTGGCAAGTGCACAAGGCAAAAGTAAAAGTAAAACAAAACAAAACAAAAAACAAAATCACACAGTGGAAGAAGACATCTGCACCATACCTATCTGACAAAGAACTAATATCCAAAATATACAAGGAACTTTTTTTTAGAGGTTTTTGCTATAGGGTGCGCACACTTGCCAGAGAGACAGAGACAGAGAGAAAGAAAGTGAGAAATCACCCCCCAGGGGGTATGGCCATGCCACAATCCCTTCTCCTCTACTCTCCTCTTGGCATCTTGGGCACACATGCACATGCGCTTGGCCTGAGTTTAAGCCACCAGGTCTGGGACTTGAACCACAGTCGATTACATGGGAGTCCAGCGACATAGCCATTACGCTAACTGCTGGTCCCTATACAAGGAACTTCTTTTTATTTATTTATTTATTTATTTATTTTTATTGAGAGGTTTTTGCTATAGGGCGCGTGCGCTCGCCAGACAGACAGAGACATAGAGACAGAAAGCGAGAAATCACCCCCCGGGGAGGATGGTACGCCGCAATCCCTTCTCCTCCATTCTCCTCTCGGGATCTTGGGCACGCACGCACACGGTCCCAGCATGAATTTTAAGCCACCAGGACCGGGACGCGAACCGTGGTCGCCTACGTGGGAGTCCAGTGACATAGCCATTACGCTAACTGCTGGTTCACCAGGAACTTCTTAAAAAAAAATAATAAATAAGCAAGAGAGGGGCAAGCAGGTGGCATAGTGGTTAAGGCACTGGACTCCTTGACGGTGCTTTGAGGTTTGGACCTGGTGGCTTGAAACACACCAGACACGTGTGTGTGCGTGTCCATAATCCCAAGAGGAGAATGATGGCCATACGTCCTGAGGGGTGATTTCTCGCTTTCTGCCTGTCTCTCCAGCAAGCACATCTGCCCTCTAGCAAAAAATCTCTTAAAAATAAAAAGTATGCAAGAAATTGTAAAAGGTACATCACAAAAGCGGATATTCAAATAGCCAATGAACAAATAAGTTGATCTCCTTAGTTGCCAGGGAAATGCTAAATAAAACAATGAGATATCATTATACACACATAGCCATGAATGTTAAAAAAATAACCTGACAGGGCCAGGAGATGGCATGGTGGTTAAGGTGTTGGATTCCCACACGGCTGACCTGGCAGCTTCCTTTCTTACTTTTCCTTTCTTTCTCTCTCTCTCTCTCTGCTGAGCACATGTGGCCTATAGCAAATTAAAAAATAATAATAATGGGGACCAGCAGTTAGCGTAATGGCTATGTCGCTGGACTCCCATG